ATAAGGCATCATCAGTATCATCTTTTAAATCACTTCTTAAAACTGATTTTTTATTGGTTGGCCATCCTTTAGCTGGTTTTAGCCAGATTGTATTCTTCATTTATTTTAATTCTATTTTATTAACTTATTTATTATAATTATTTGAATTGATTGCTTCATTGTTTGATTTTGTTTGCTTTCTGGATGCTATTTTTTTTATTGATCTTTGCAGCTTGTAGAGCACTTTGTAAACTGTGTTTTTAAAAGTGCTTCATAAATAAAGATTTTTTATTATTATTATCATCCAAAGACCAAACCAGACTACGTTACAGGTCACAATGCCTGTTTTTTGTGGAATTTTTGATTTATAAAACCACCTGCAATTTAACAAATGTAAGGTAGAGCTGTTTAATGTCATACTGTGGAACATTTCAGGGTAGTCAGTAAGATCTCCATGGAGACATACTGTACAGGTGGTGGACCCTCTACCTGTAAACGTCATTACTGCTAAGGGATAGGCAATAGACCGTACATAAATGGACATAACTAACCTGCTGTGGCGTTACAAATAGGAAGAACTGGTTTCGTCTGACTCTACACGTATTTTCAGTTCACTTTCTATTGAAAAATGTGGCCCCTCTATCTGGAACTGCTGCTGTCAAGCTTGTCATTCTGACTTTAAACTGTTTTGCAATTAGCTTTAACTCACTCTGCATGATCCTGGTGTTTTTATTCCACTGTTTTGTCCGTAAATCAATATGTGAACAGTCAGGTCAGTGTTAGTAAGAGGTTTGGTTGACGTTGCTACGCGCCCACCCTCTGCCGAACCATAGAACTCTGATCAAATTTAAAGGTGAAACCAATATGGTGTTGTATTACTTTCAATGGCCTGTGCTCATTGACGCATGGGCCCCCAAAAATTTTCTCTTCTGCGTTACTTCCTCAACACGAGCGATCTCCTCCCCATACCATACCAACTTTATTTATAAAGCACTTTAAAAACTTAACAGCTGGTCAAAGTGCTGCACACAAACATAGAAAAGACAAGGGCTATTGCAGTCAAGGTTACAATACAACTGCTAAAAACAAAGAAAACAATAAGATACTCAACAACAAAGCCAGTGAAAAGAGTGCATTTTAGGAGTGATTTAAAAACAGGTACAGACTCCGCCGGTCTAATCTCTAATGACAACTGGTTCCAGAGGTGACAGGCAACAACAGAAAACACACAGTCCCCACTAAAATCAAATTAAGTCTTTGGGATCCAAGCTGGAGCTGGTGTGCTGACCTCAGAGTGTGACACCTTTAACATTTGTAACATGCACGGCGTAGAGCGACTTTGGAGCGACCAATCAGAGCGAGGAGAGCTGCTAGAGCGGAGCTAGAGCAAGGCTAGGCTAAGTCTTATAAAGTGAACTTTTAGGTGCTTTTAGGTGTTTTGAGGAAGTTTATGTTGTGAAAATAGAAGATAATCCCTACAAAATCCAACCTTTTTGTCAGTTGCTGATGCCCTCTCCGCCGAATACAGGCAGTTTGAAATCCCCAAAAAATCCATTGCGCTCTGTGGGAGGATTCTTTCTGGGCCTAAGCTCCCGTGACCAGCGGTACCTGGCGCAGTGTGAAGAATCCCTCAGTTGTCCAGGTAGAATCCGTGGCGAGGAGAAAATTCAGTTTGTCAAACAAGTGGGTGTGTTAGTTTCAGTTAGTTAGCTCCTCCCTGCAGATATAAGGAAGTGTCCACCAGCGTCTGACCAGAACTGAAGAAGCAACTTGGATGAGCTGCGAAACGTCTTCAACCAAACTAACTTTTGTAACTTTTGTCCAGTCAACAAACTGAATTTTTTTCCTCGCCAGTACCTGGATTGGCCACTAGTCAGTCTGGAGCTGGGACATAGGGGAATGGCTTGTCCAGTTTTTATTATAGATCCATGTGCCAGACCAGTAGAGTGGGCGGGAAGGGGAATGTATCTTTAAGAACCTTACCTCTGATTGGCTCTTTGGTTGCACATTCCAAATATGGATCTAACTATAACTGCTGTCCTCAGTTGGCTTCATTTGGTTGGAGCCGAATTGCGATGGGTGATGTCACGCTCCCTCAGCCCACTTCTGTGTTCAGTGTATGGGTTAGACCGAGCTTTTCTCCGCCTGTCAATCTTAATCCATTAATAGTCAGGAGGTAACAACAAAGTCTGAGTTAGTCTTGACTGGCCGCGCTCGCAGTAACCTGACAGAAAATCAGATTGAACTGTCAGTGGCAGTGACAGTCTCTTCAAAATGCTTCACCCACCATTGTGAAAAATATTTGAAAATCTATGTCTATGAAGAGCTTACTATCTACCGTATATTTATGTCAGTGGCGTCTTTAAATGTGCGCTTTGCTTGGAGATGTTATTGCTTGGTCTGAAATGTTCCACAGTGTGCCATTAGATGTTCATTTTGCATTTTTTACATTATGCATTTTCATTCCGTGCATTCTTACGGTAAGTGGTGAATAGAGAAGTAGTTGGCTGACCCACTAGAAAAGTTGCATAATGCATCCAATACTGGTGTCAGATATCAGCGCTGATACTGAAAAGAATAGCTGGATTGAATATCGGTTCAGTCGATGTCCTAGTTTGGCGTATAAATTGTTATTAGACAGTTTAGTGGTAGTAGTTGGCCAGGAAAGTCTCGGAATGTTTGAACTTTTATTTAGAAAGAGATAAATAACAGCTGTATAACACATTTGGATCTGTTTAGTCTTATTTTATTTTTGTTTTACGGAAATCCTAGTAAATTCTGTTTTCTGTCTCTGCACTGTTATCAGTTGATATCTGGTATCGGCAGATCTGCCCTACAAAGACAAAAGACCTTAACTTGCCAGAGTGTGAAACTGACGAAAAAATGAAAAATTTTGTCCAGGCAAAAGTATAATAGACAGGGCTCCCAAAATTTGACAACTAGTTGCTATAATGAAGAAATATTTGTATGTGAAATATACTGAGCTCAACATTGACCTCTGACCCTTATTTGTCAGTTCCTGTACTCTGCCTTTGTATCATGAGCCAAAAATAGGGAGACGTGCAAAGGCAAAAGGCAGGAACTGACATGATCATTATTTACTTGATCTTCCCCAGACTTCCATCCATTATCAGAACACCTCACTAAGGGAGAGTCACCATGGGGTTTGTTTGTAGCCAGACTGGCGCCACCTAGTGCCTCCGCTCAATTTCAACCTCCGCTCCAGCAACTAGGTCAGGAATCAGAATACACTAGATGGTTTGCAAGAATCCCAGAAATGCGAGTCAGGGCACCAGCCAATCAGCGAAGAGCAATACATTCTGTGTTGATAATGATTCCCGAGATCGAGGATTTAAAGCCGGAACAAAGAGAATGTTTGGTGAATTTTATCAAGGGGAAAGACGTTATTGTTCTTCTTCCTACGGAATATGGGAAAAGCTTAATAAACCAGTTAGTTCCGTTAGTGATGCATTACATACATCACGACCAAAATTTTTTAAAAAAAGTACCCGCCTACTGTCGCGTGAACAAATCCTAATGCTGTGAGGTTAGACGGTTTCCACAAAGTGAAACCGGCTGATGAATCAGGCTAGTTTGTTTAAAATGATCTAGAAGACCTTTGAATTATTTAGTGATATTTAGTGCTGAACAGGATCGTGCGGTGACACTTACACAATTAAACAGTTTGACAGACACTATACTTTGCAGTAAAATATGTACTCTATGAATAAACACACAAAACACTTTCACAGTAAAAATCATTTAAGAATAATTTAATACAAATAAAATATATTTATGGACTAAATCACAAACAAAACATACACTGTTACTGCCGTTTGTCTTTGCACGACTCCTTATCTTGGGCTCATGGTACAAAGGCAGAGAACAGGAACTGCCAAATGGGTCAAAGGTCAATTTTTCAATATTTTTCTTGATATTTATTCACATGATAAAGGAGGTCTCATATACAAAAAAAAAAAAAAAAAGACACAAACTCACTTTTTTTATTTTTTTTTATAATTTGTAATTTATTCAGTGATTTTTTGTCCATATACATCATAATATACATGTTCTGTTTTGTTCCCCCCCCCCCCCCCCACACACAAACTCCAAAAAAAAAAAAAAGGGAGGCAGTCGGGTTACAAATTTTAGAATATACAGAGTTTTTTTTTATTTTTTTCCCTAAACAGAAAACCACTGAAATCCTTTACATTGTGCATTACAATTACTCCTCACTTCATACAATTTAATTTTCTCCACCATTGTCACAGTTAACATAATTCAAATATGCTTTCCATTTGTTTTTGTAGGCTATAATTCGATCTGACATATTAAATGACATCTGTTCGTAAGAGGCTACTTTAGCCAGTTCTGTGAACCACTCATGAAACGCTGGCTCCTCTGGGTCTTTCCAGTGTCTCATTATTATTTGTTTTCCAATCATAATACTAGTTTGAATAAATTCTGATGATGGACATCTAGTAGTCATTTTTGGATCACTCAAAATATAAAGCTGAGGGGTGAATTCAAAAGTGTTTTGAGTGACACAAACTCACTTTTGACCAAACGTGATGTTATGATGTTCTGCCTTTGTAGAACAGAGATACTTAAAACTATAGCACAGTCTCTAGTCTTGCCCTTGCACTATTGAAGCTGGCATTGAACCAGCAACCCATCTATAATAACACAACCACTCTACTGACTATTATGCATATTATTATTGTATCAGTGTTACGCAACTTAGACTTAGACAAACTTTATTGATCCACAAGGGAAAATCTTTGGACACAGTAGCTCACACATCACAATATAATATAATAACAAAGAGAAAAAATATAAATGGTAATAATAAATCCAAATAATAGCAAAAATAGCAACAGATCAATGGTAAATAAGGCATAATTGTATAAAAGTATATGTACAAGTCAAACTAAAATATATAAATATAGTTGTACGTCATGCTATCTAAAACAAATCTAACTTTTTCCTTCTCCCCACCTGACTTCCCTCTCTTCCCACAGCCCAGCTCTCGTACCAGCTGTCCGCCCGCGACCTCAGCCACTCGGGCATCGCCATGGATACCACCGGCTTCACCCTGGACCCGGAGAACTGCCCGTACTGCGCCAAGGAGTCCGAAGCGGCCGCCGAGGGGGGCAACGAGACGCCGGGGGACTCGGACAGCGAAGGGGTCTACGAGTTCACCCAGGACCTCCACCACCGGGACCGCAGGGACAGCCGGCAGCCCAGGAAGAAGCACCGGAGCCTGGGCTAAAACGGCGGCCAAGGTGGTGCGCTTCTGGAGGCTGGTGTGCGACACTTTTCGGAAGATCGTGGACAGTAAATACTTCGGAAGGGGGATTATGATCGCCATTATGATCAACACGCTGAGTATGGGGATCGAGTATCATGAGCAGGTGAGCGCTGGTTTGGTTTCTTTTGCTTGGTTTGCCGTAAATTGTAAAAGAAAATTGGTGGTTTTCAGATTTTACAATGTGATGATTCTCCAAAATAAAGGGCAAGAGACAAATTTCAGTATCGATATCACTGTACTTGGCCACGAAATATCCAAAACGTTAAACTCACAAATGTTGAATTTGGTGTTTTCAATTTGTGACTAAACCCAAGAACTTTGCATTTTAACAATATTAATTTTAGGTGCCCACATCTGTATTCATTAATATTGTGTCATAGAAGCTGTGATGTCATCTGAAACCAAGCAAGAGTGTTAAATTGTCATATACATATACATATTTTGTGTTGTCGTTGGAAATATTGTATTTATATTGTATTGATACTTTGCTGTGACTTCACGCTTGGGGGTGTTCTACATGAATGCGTATGGTTGAATGTTCAGCAGTTTCAATGGTGAAACAAAGCACAGATTTGCAAATACAGAAAACAAAACAGTCTGAAAAACTCAAGAAAATACTATATGGATTCAAACAACATATTTTCAGGTTCGATATGAGCGGTCATGGTCCTGTTTAGGAGTTTCTAACTGAAAAACTGTTGACTAATTCTATGTTAAATGTTATTTGAGAAGAACTTGGTTAACAGTAGACATCAACTCACCTGTAGTTCCAACTAAAGCTACGTTCAAACTGCAGGGCTCAATGCTCAACTCAGATTTTTTTGCGAGGTTGTTCACATTTCCAATTAAATGCGACTTGTATGTGATCTCCAGTGTGAACTTTAAACGCATGCACACTGAAGGACACGACAACGTCACACGCAGGGCTTGTCTCCCAAAATACGGTCCAGTTCTTCGTAAAATGGACAGGTTGCATGTCCACGGCCGCTTCGTTTGTTTGAGTCTTTAGCCTCCTTGTATTTGGCTCACAGGCTCTTTACTTTTTGTTGACGTTGGAGCCAGGACCGCCTGTAGCCTCGCCATTTCTTTGGCAATCATTTCAAAAACCCTCCAAAAACCCTCCAATTTGGTCTGAATACAGCGATCACCCCAAGTATGAATGAACGTGCTAACCTCGCTTTTCCTCTATAGACGAGATTCTGAGCCTGACATGTAGGTGGGATGAATGTGACCTGGCCGTTCAGACTGAAGTCGCATGTCAAAAGATCGGATATGTATCGGTTTTAGGAGCACATATCCAAGTGGCCTGGGTCGAATCTGTGTCGTTCAGACTGTCATTAAAAGATCAGATACAGGTCGCATAGTGGTGAAAAAATCTGATTTGGATCACTTAAGGCTGCAGTCTGAACGTCTACAAAGTCAGTTATTTCTGGTCAGATTGTGCTGAAATAAAGCTTATGGGTCCGGTCAAGTGGTAACGGAGGGAAACAGGAGCAGATTTTTGACATTCAAATGTCTCTTATTCAGAAACTAGAGGGACTATTGAAATAAGTAAAGTATCAGAATGTAGGAAAGAGTTACACTCCAACAGGGTCAAGTTAAACCTGTGATATTCTTTCAAGTTGTTGACAAAAAATTTAAAAACTCATGTTGGTAACGGAGGGAATGAAATATGCAGCACTTTTTGGTCAATAAATCCAAACAGTGATAACTCTTGGTTCTCACTTCCATATCCTTAACAAACTGGTTTGAATATTTGCTTCATATAGTTTTCTACCATATGGTACAAGATTAGGTTGAAAAACCTCTTACTTTTTGAGTCATGAGATTTTTTATTAAGAAAGGTCATGGTAACAGAGGGAAAAGTAACGGAGGGAAAATTGTGCAAACAAGTAGAAGGTGCAGGATTTTACATCATTTGTCGCTTTTTTCTTCTGAATACTTTAATATTACTTCAAAATGAAAGGAAACTATTTCTATAAAATATGTCAGTCCTTCCAAGCAAATTTTTATCATTTGGAAAAATCATGTACCTTCATCAACAGTTCAAAGATGGAATAACAGAAGATATGATGAAATACATCCATTTATTTACATGATTTTCAGGTCTTTGAAATTTGGGAAATAATTTTTGTTCCATGTTTCATACATGGTCTGTTTAAAACATATGTAACTTTAGAACCAAAAATGGTACAGAAAAAAGGTCAACAGTTTCATAAACTAGAGTACATATGTATCTGTTCAATACATTTTTATATCAGATGCATTAACTTGAATTTTGGCCTTGCTGTTTACTTCTGCTTGACCGGATCCTTATATTAAAGTTTTAAAAAGCCTCTGACGGAGCAGTGCCTACCATTAGCTTCTCACCCCCAGAGAATGTTGATGACATGAGCTGCAAAGTATCAATAGTCAGATGGTGGTTTTCACTCTGTAGTACACAAACTTCTTCAGGTGGTACTTTGACACCTCTTCTGCCTTAGGGTCAGTCCTCGGTTACAGCTATTTTGTCACGGTTTAGTCCTATTCAAAGGTCGCCACACACTACAGGATTTTTAAACATGTGACGAAAAGCGCACACCACAGACACGAGGAGAATCTTACGAGCCCGAGTTTGTATGTTTGCGTCTCTGTGTCCGTCACGCCGTCTGCCCCTGACGCTCTGTTTTATTGGCTGTTACCCTGTGTGTGTTTGAGAGCCACTGTAGTAGGACCTTGAACCTTGCGTCGTGATTTGTATACATAAGTGGAAGTGTTTGGAAATGCTTGGAGGAAAAAAAAAATACTGGATTTATATCTGGAAGGAAGTGTGATATTTCAGGAATCAGGAAATGTATTTTCAAGACCAGTATAAATAGTCCAAATTATAGTTGTGGTGTCGACCAGAAGAAGATTTAGCACAGAATAGACCAATGCGGTTTATATCAAACATCATACGCAGGTAAAAAGTTGTGGTTCAATCATGCATTCGTCATTTTGTCCATGAGCAAGGTACTTTTACAATGTTGTGAACACCTGAGACCAACTTTCTATGGGTCTTGTAGTGGATCAAACAGAAAGGCAAAGACAAGAGTATAAAAATAAGTTTAAATTTAATAAAGTCAGAAAATGTGATTTAACAAAAGCTCAAATTAGGCAAATAATCAACAAAAAGCCCAACTGGGGGTGACTTAAACCAAAACGAACAGAACAAAACTAATCCGAACAGACAAAGAACAGGAGGATTAACTAAATTGAACACAAGAGGAAGTAATTACACTAAATAATGAACTAAAACTACTAACTTAAACAAAGTAACAAGGAGGCACTTAAGTATAATACAGAAAATAATAATAAAGTGACAATAAAGTAACCTTAAACGAACTAACTTTGCAAAACTAACTAAATAGTGCTTCTTCTCTTGGTTTGGAGTAGATTATCTCTGCCAAGGGTCGACTCCTTATTAGTCCCTTGTCTGGCCACTCAGGAAAAAAAAGAACAAGTGAGTAAATAATTCAGACTGATATTGACTAAAACGGGTGCATCCAAATTAGAAAATATAAGTCTAAATAAATCAGTTAAATTAAACTATGTGTACTTTTTAAATGAGATGGAATAAAACTAACACCGTGGAGTGGTGGTAGAAGTATCCACCACAGACTTTACAAGAATACAAAAGGATTTCATGAATTTATATGGATTCCTATTAGGGCTGGGTATTATTAAGAAGTTGATGATACGATACATACCTCGATACATAGGCCTCAATACGATATCTATCTCGATATAGTGAACTTTCGATTCCATGTATTTCAAATCGATTCGATATGGTTCAGTAAAAAACAAAGTCTAAATCGTGGCTGTGATGTGGAAAGTCTTTGTTAAACCACTTTTTGTGCAACGTTTATAAGAAACACAAACATTTTAATCATCAAAACAGTGAAAATGTCAAATGTGTTGCATAAAAGTGTTTCCTTTCTCTCAACAAGCAACAAAACTGTAGCTCTGAAACTACATAAATAAATAATTGAGTAAAATCTACCCAAAAATACTCTTAACGATATAGCCATACAACAGCCCATGATATCAATACTGTATCATCACATTAAATGAAACGATATTGCAATATTTTTGCACACCCCTAATTCCTATATGGATAATATTATAGTTGTGTGGCTTTTTAAAATTACATAGTAAATTATGGAACTTAAAGATGGATACTATGCAAAATCCATTTTATTTTATTTTTTTACCATGTTATTATGTTCTCTCATCAAAAATACAGTATACCTGAAGAGATTTTAGATTTTGATTAATTTAGTGATCTCTTCCAGGCACTATTTGAACCCTCCTTATGGTTATCTTAGGGTGACCAGATTTTCAAAAAAACCAAACAAACAAACAAAAAAAAAAAGTGGGACATCCCTGGTTTGTGGTGGTTGGTAATAATGCAATTGTGAAATGAGTGAGTAATTAAGGAAAATTGTTATGCACTCGGCACTAATATGAGTCAGTATAGTCACATTTTCTATGTGTTTTTCTCATTTTTAAGCAGCTTTTCTGTATTTTACCTAAATAGATGACAATTTATGCCTCAGTTTACATTTGGCAGGGATCAGATTGGTCAAAAATAGGGACACCTGGGGCATGTCTTGATTAAAACTGGGATAAATCACTGGTTTTGGATGAATCAGCTGGGACAGGGGACACAGGACTCAAAACTGGGTCTGTCTCGGGTCAATAGGGACGCCTGGTCACCCTGGGCTAGCTGTAAGATTCTGTACGAAGCTCCGCCCACAAGCCTACAGTACGTCACCCATGCGCCCACATGAAAAAACAAAAACATGACTCAAACTGTACACATCAACTTTACAAACTCAACGCAATGTGCAGTATTTTCATTAGTGGGATGCATGCTGATTTTGTTGTGATAGCGCTCTGAAGGGGGAGTAACATAACACAGAGAGCAAGTTAATACACAATAGAAGTATCATACCACCTCTTTAAAAATTGTATTAACTAGATTCGCTGGAATATAACCAACGTCCAAACTAATAAATATAAACTTTCATTTTTGCGCCGCCCCCTAGTGGAAGAGGATCTTGGCTCCTTTTCACTAGACAA